TGCCTGTGCAGAACAAAAGATTTTTTTGGTAACCTGCAAACTGCAACGCGGATAAATTTTATTTTGCCCCTGCGCGGTATCGCGCAGGGGTGAAAAATTATGCAGGTGATCAGCTCTGATTCCGAATATCGACATGAGACGGGCAGTTAGGTCTCCAGAAACTCTAAAAAATAACCAAAACCTTTCTTAATGAGGCATGATTACAGAACCCAAATTTCTGATTAAAATGAGACATCTCTCAGCTCTACACGACCTTTCTTTGCAAAGTTATAGAGTTTACAATAACGTTCATTGTCAGCTTAGAGCTATAGAAATAAGGAACACATTAATTTAGAACTATTCTTGTAAACTCTACAACTTTGCAAAAAAAATCATGTAGAGCTGGGAGATGCCTTATTTTAATTAGAAACTTGCGGGCTACAATCATGCCTCATTAAGGAAGGTTTTAATTATTTTTTACAGTTTCTGAAAAACTGGTGTTCCACAAAACAGGTCTATGGAGGCCTAACTACTCGCTCCATGTCGATATTCGGAATCAGTATGGTCGTTGACCTACCACCACTAGGTTTCGTCTCAAAAGCGACTGGACAGTTGGTAGATCTCCCTCATGAGACCACAGAAATATTTAGAATACGCTTTTGTGACACTACATTACAGGTCAATTTTGAATGTCAACATCAAACCATGTAACTTTATATTTTGCATAACTGACGTATAGAGCCAAAACGGCGATACTAGCGAAACGTAGCTCTGTTTTCGGTAAGAAAAAGTCATACAAGATAAACTGTCTGAATGCTTGTCAGCCGCACTATGGCGCAGACACAGAACGTAAGTAAAAAACGAACAGGAAAGAAAACACAGATTTTCAACAGTCATTATGTAAAACAGAAAATACCAGTGCTACATACTAGAGGGCAGAAGCTTCACTAATAATCATTTTTGACTACCAGCGACGTAAAAATGGTGGGTTCGATAGATGTCTCTTTTAATAGTAACTTACTACCCAGTTGAACTGGGGCGAAACACAGGATCAGCTCGGCTGGAGCCCACCTGAGAAGATGAGAATAATCTTTTTGGCCAATAGTGATATAAAAACGTACGTTGTAGTTTTTCTTAGATCCAAACTTTTTGGTAAAACTGATAGGATTCTTATCAGAATCTTATCAGTTCCTTATATAAAATTGTTTAAGAATCCGATCGACAGTCGTAAGTGTCTTATAATAATCTGATAAGATTTTCATAAGAGGTTTGCAAGAAAAACATAACAAGCACCAAAAATTCTTATGCTATTAATATCTACTAGAAGGCAGCTTATGAGTCGGATTTTACGATTTCTTTTGTGATTAAATTCCGTCTACTTGCTCTCAAATCTTTTCTGGCTGGTAAGTGACTTTCCCCGAACAAGTGTCTATCTCCCAGTAGACATTTCTGGGAATCCCGAAATGCCATGGAATATAGATAATCGACTACGCTGAGCATACTGGCAACATTTGTTTTTGTGTAGAAATGAAAATAACCTCGCCAGAGGCATTTTTGTAAAAAAACAGTTTTTTGCCTGTTACCAGCAATAATTAAAATCTCTATATCTCGCTCAAATGTCATGCTGGCTAGAGGAAATTTTGTCAGGAAAGACTTAAAAGGCGCCATATATTGTTGATCAAGCTGGAAAAGTGGTCCAGCAGAACACTGAGGCTGTAAGGTTTCAGAAGGTTTCTGGAAAACCTTAAACCAATGCCCAGCTAAAATTCACCTTTTTCGTCTTCGATTGTAATTTATGAGCTGTCCTGAGCGTGTTCTGAAAGTTTCCTTGAGTCAGCATAAGATTTGATCGAGATATAAGGATTTTAATTTTTGCTAGTAACAGGCGGAAAACCGGTTTTTCACAAAAATGCCTCTGGCGAAGTTATTTCCATTTCTGCACAAAAACAAATGTTGCCACTATGTTCAGCGTAGTCGATTACCTATATTCGATGACATTTCGGGATTCCCAGAAATGTCTACTAGGAGATAGACAGTTGTGTAACTTACATTCCTATCTAAAGTAAGTGGATATAATAATATAAAGACAGTAAGCACTTATGGTCTAATGATTATAAGATATCGGGGCAGCTGAATGGAAGATTACGAGTGCGATTCTTCTTAAGTACGATTTATTTTTTTACGAACCTCTTATGAAAATCTTAAACACTACGACTGTTGATGGGAAATCTTAAACTGAAAAGATTATTATAAGAATTTTATAAGATGTTGACAAGAGACTTACATGTTTCAGATAAGATTCTTAAATAAAGATTCGATCCTTCGGGTTGGAAAAAAAATGGTCCAATCGAGCTCAAATTTTTACCGCAGATACTTCAGACCCTATCTCAGAATGTAAATTTTTTCCCGAAAAATGCTTTTCCTCTCGAGTTATACGAAAAATGCTGGAAGCTAGTGAAAAAAACCTGAAAACAATCTGACATTTTTTGCGTGATTTTCAGCATTTCTCGTATGTCTCGAGAAGGAAAGCATATTGTTCGGGAAAAAATTTACATTCTGAGATAGGGTCTGAAGTATCTGTGGTAAAAATTTGAGCTCAATCGGAACAGTTTTTCGAGGAGTCGAATAGTAATCCGATGAATGCTGGAGTTTTCTAGAAAACCCATATAAGAACTGCTCAGAAAATTCTGGGCAAAAATACCTCGATTTTCGTTGTCGATGTTCTATCTCGGCTATAAATTTAAGGTCAATCGAACGTGTGCGCCGCCTTTGGCAACAAGTTGGAAAAAGAGCGCGAGGTACACTTAATTATTCAACATCTCTCCAAAAGTTCAATCAATCTGGATGCTTGTAGTCACGCTTAGATGAGAGGATTTGACTTTAATGGCTAAGCATATGGCCAACATGACCTCGTGCGAAGGATAAAAGTAAAGCTTTAAAGAATAAAAATCAGATTGCCTATATAAAAATGGATTATCACAAAGTGTTCGTTAACCCCCTGAAGATGTTAACTATGGAATAACTACAGGTGGCGCCACCATAATGGCGTGACTTGTAAATACTTTTCGGATAAATTGCATCAGGGGTTAACCAAAACTTGTGATAACCCTTTTTTATTTAGACAATCTGACTTTTATACTTTAAAGCTTTACTTTTACCCTTCTCACGTGGTCATTTTGGCCATATAAAATGATATTTCTGACGCGTACTCCATTTTTCTTTGAGAAAGGAACGAATCAGAATGATGAATCATACTTATGTTACCAGAGGATATTTCAAAAATTTGTGTAGTCTTATTTTTCTAAAATTCAGGGTGGGTTGACAGACCCGTATCCGGCGACTATGTACCCGCACCTATGTTGCAAAAAGAAAGCACACTAAAAACGTTCCTGTATCATGGATGGATCACAGTTTTCAAAGTGATTGTAGTGGAAACTGTGATACGTCCGTGATATAGGAACGTTTTTAGTGTGCTTTTTTCTACAATGTAGGCACAAGTGCGGGTGCAGGTGAGTTTGGGTCACTGAAGGGTCCGAAATGCGGTAGTTTATAAATGGACTTATGTTACTAGAGGATATTTGAAAAATTTCTGTAGTCTTATTTTTCTAAAATTCAGGATGGGATAATGGGTAGATCATTTGATTCTGACTCTTGACGATCTCCTTTATTCTCTTGACAACAAAAAAAACTACGGGAAACATTACATTTGTCAAAGTTATCTGAGAAGAAGAATGCCAAACTTTCGCTTATTTTGTCAAAAGAGAACCTAATCAAAACTGTATCACCCTAGACAAAAGCCTACGTACTTCCTTTCTATTTCCCACTAGGATCTTGCAGGATCTTAACATTTAGGATCTACCTAATAACGTTCTAGCAGGATCCTAAAATACTGAGGTCCTATCAGGGTTTTGCTTAAGTTTGTTTAGAGTCCAAACAGAATCTTAGAAAATCCTATGACTTTCGGGTATACCTGATTCCATTAGGATTCTGTAGGATTCTGTAAGGTTTTGTTAGCATTCTAATAAATTAAAGCGAAATCCTAGCAGGATACTGGTAAGATATGTCTCGGATCCTGTCAGGAAATGCATGGGGATTTTACTAGGGAATAGTATAAACATATTCAGAGAATGTAAGAATTTGATCTAAAAGCGAGATTAATTAATTTTTTCGTTTGTGATGCGGTAAGCGGAAAGGAAAAGTGGAAAATGTAAAACTTTAATAAAATTAAACTTTAAGTTAGTAAGGTTGTACTTACTTATTTTTTCTTCCGTTACGGATGAAGTTGGTAAGGTAAAATTTGTATCATTATTTGCTGATGATGACAAATAATTCAATACTAAATGTTGTTTAAATAAAGTCACAATAGATGGGCTGTTACTAATGTCCATTGTTGGTGTTTTATTTTGTTTATTTTTAATGTAACAATCAGCACCATGTTTCAATAAATAACTAACAAGGCTCGAATTTCCATCTGAACAGGCTATATGTAATGGCGTTGAACCAGCTGACGAGTCTTGCTGTTGTTCTCCCACTAATTCTATTTGGTTTTGGATATTAACTGAACATTTGATATCTTCAACTAAATACTGAACAATAGAATAATGATTCTTACTAGTAGCTACATACAATAGTGTATGACCATTTAAATTTGGTTTATCTTTATATGTTGGATATTTATTCAAAAAGTCTTTAACAACATCTAATTTTCCTTCATAGGCAGCTTTGTATGCTCCTAATGATAAACGAAATCTTAGTGATTCTTGATGAAATAAACTTAATAAATTAGCAGTGAATGGTTTAGTAAATGATGTATCGATAAAATTATAATCATATAAAAAATCTAATAAATAATTTTTTGTTGCTTTAATTTGATTTTGGCGGTTGTCTCCTTCTTCTTCTGTTTCGTCATCTTTTTCATCCCCAACACCAGCGGCATGTAAGAAACTATTAATGGTTACTTGTACTTTTTTAGTCAATTCTATTAACGTCTGATCAATATCATTCTTCAACAATAAATGCGATAAATCTTCATCAATCAATTGCAAGTGATTATCATCATCATTATTGTTGTTGTCGACGGCTACAGTATGTTTTAAAATCTGTAGATATTCGTCGATTAATTTAATTATTTCATCTAAGTTTTTTTCTAATTGATCAATAAGGTTTGTTGACAGCATTCTTGAAGAAAAATAAAGTAATTCAATGACAATAACGATACCCTTGCAAAAACTTTCAACAAGAAAAGAGTGAAACGTTCTTTCTACTCTACATAAATATTGACTGTATATAATAGAGTGCTACAAACCGATGCGACGGATAATTTGGACAAATCCCGAATGAGAGTCGGGTTCGGTTTTCAAACTTGTCTTGCTCTTATTCGATGGTCTGTGATTTCCACCATGAGAATATTTTTTTATTGACTAAAATGCACAGAAAATTTTGATATGTATTTTCTATTTTACTAATAATCATTGTTATAGATTAATCACCTATCTACAGATATGAAACGTCACTTGGATGAATGTTGTTTTCTCAATCCCGATAACTTGTTTCTAAATTCACATATCTGATCTGTTAAAACCATTTGTAAAATGGATAAAAATCCTTTTTCAAAAAACATTTCAATATTAAGGAAATATTTGTCTTTTTATGCAATAAAATGCCTTGATTTTCACAAAGTTTTCACATTTTGTCGAAATAAAGCAGTATTTCAAAAAAATTCGTACCTTTGCGTGAAAAAAGGTTTCTGTGGGACTAGCTTTTCAACGTATGTCCCGATCGGAATATAAAACACGAAATTTCGTCGTAAAAACGATTAAGGGAAAAATGACGAGATTTTGGGGTAAAGTTGACGTCACCATTCGAAAGAGCTCGAAAAACTACATCGGATCTTCCTTTTCGATGCCCACATATATTGAAACACAATTCTTTTCTCATGCGTCGACAATATATAAATATACGTGCTTTGTGTTTAAC